TCTCTGTGAAAGGACATGTATTCGGGACGGGCACAGCAGGTGTGAAGTGGAGGCAAGTGGGGGCATTTAGCTCTGTCACTCACTCAAAGCAACGCCACAGTTGACTGAGAGGCCTGACATTTTTACAAAGGGAAGAGGGATGGAAGCGCATGCTTGGCGATGCATTGACCCACCATTGATCTGTCCACCTTTAGGACAGGATGAGCTTCCATCCCTCAGAGACTAGTTCCTCTCTAGGTTTCTTCCTAGGTTCCTGCCTTTCTAGGGAGTTTTTCCTAGCCACTTTATAAGTACTTTATGACAACTGCTGATGTAAAAAGGGCTTTATGAATACATTTGATTGATTGTCTGGGCTGTATGTCTGACCTGACTGCTGCTCAGAAAGAGTGTTCCCTGTGGGCTAGGATAGCAGTCTAAAGGCGTCAGCATGCTTCAGTTCAGTGAATGACAACAAAGACTTTATTGAAGAATCCCTACTGTTGACCAATCACAGACGAAGGGGCGTGGACTTTGGCTCTGAACTTGCCTCCAGAAAAAATGTGAGTGCCCGAACAACGGAAAAAACCCTGATCGAAGTCCAAAACGAACAAAAACATCACAAAGTCGTCATAGTATATGCACAAACTCTACCAAACTGTTTCGGCTGGGAAGCATGCGGACGACTTAAGTCGCTGCCTCCAGATCACATATCAGCATGGGTTCCAATCCAGCCCTCTGCTAATTTAGCACACTCTCCTCTATATTCCTTCTCGACCTCTGTCCTATCCAATGAAACAAAAAATATGTTTTCTTTAAAGAAAAAGAAAACAGAGCGCTCCCCTATAATAGGAGGATATGGGACTTCCTGTAGAACAGGAAAGAGTACTATCATGGCCATACTGAGAGTCAGTGGTGTCAAGTACAATGCTAGGGGCTAATGATGACCATTGACCACTAAGCAATTGGCACCCGAAAAGCTAGCGGAACTGACTTTCCTCTCAAAACATAAGGGTACATTATGAAATTATATTCTGAGATTCTATGTGCACAGTTCATCATGATTTCTGTTCAAACAGCTGTTAGAACCCTAGAATTTGACACGACATCACAGGGTCACAGTTGAGTTACCTTCCGAGGCAGAAACCATGGTCCATTCATGTGCAGGATTGACATGTACCCGGGTCGATATAGATAAAGTTCAACATTGTGGGTCACAATGAAAGCCATATATAAAACTCAATTGAAAAGTGACCCATCCGCTCTGGTTTGATGATTTATGCTGTTTCCTTACCACCCTTATTATGAGGTCTTCTTTGTGGTTGAGGCCTGACTTTGAGGCTGGGGTTGGAATAGATATTGACTTTATACTGTGAGACTGTCATGGGTTTAAAGCAGTAGGCTACAGAGCCACTGATTTCTCTATGGTTTTCTATCGCTGTTTTGTTTCTGTTTACTGAGATCATGTATTTTTTCTTCAAGAAAACTAACTTATTTTGATGAATAAGTTGCAGTTTGTAATGTGAATGCAGGGCATGCATGACAAAATAAATGTGTCTTGATGCCAATAACACATTTGTAAAGTGAATCCCTCAAAATGTGATACACTTTAAAAAGCAGCTGATTTAATTTAAAATGTATCATTTTCCCTGTGTCTCTGGCTTGGAGAGTTAATTGTTTCAATTAATTAAAGAAAGAAAATAATCATAATCATAATCACAGAGGTACAGTAGTAAGCTACAGTTTCATTAGTTGCCATAGTAGTTTCGACTTCCTAGAGGAGAGCTCAAACATCTAAATATGGTTTTAACAATTCCATGGTTTTTGGTACTGCTAGAGGCCCTAATGTGCATAAATCCCTAATGACTTAGAGATCACCAAGAGGACAGCTGAGAATATCTGCATCGGAAAAATTGTCTTCTCTCTGGCCTCAGGCTGCTCATAGGGAAGCAATATTTTCCTAGTTAGCCTTTCATTATAGGCCTTGGAGGCTACAGTAGCTCAGTCACATTCATCCTGCTGAAAAGGAGTAAATGAGTATATAAAGAAAGCACAGAACACTTTACATTTAAGATGGTTACCATGACGACACACACAGTGATGTTTTAACTGACTGTTGAAATTGATGGTAATATACACTAACCTGCCAGTTTTTTAGGTACACCCATCTATTACCAGGTCGGACTCCCCTTTGCCTCCAGAACAGCCTGAATTCTTCCCAGCCGTGACAAGGATCAATGACTTGTGCATTCCGAGATGCCGTTCTGTTTGTGGCCCGCCTGTTATCTTGCACGATTCTTGCCATTCTCCTTCGACCTCTCTCATCAACGAGCTGTTTTTGCCCACAGGACTGCTGCCGACTGGATGTTTTTTGTTTGTCGCACCATTCTAGGTAAACCCTAGACACAGTCGTACGTGAAAAGCCCAGGAGGGCGGCCTTTTCTGAGATACTGGATCCGTTGCGCCTGGCACCGATGATCAAACCACACTCAAAGTCGCTTAGGTCACTCGTTTTGCCCATTCTAACTGAATGCCTCGATGCCTGTCAGCCTGCTTTATATAAGAAGCCACGGCCACTTGACTCACTGTCTGTAGGAGCGATCCATTTTCGTGAACGGGGTGGTGTACCTAATAAACAGTGTGTATTGTGCTCTAATATACACTGAATGTACAAACATAAAGAACACCTTCCTAATATTGAGTTGCCCCCCCTTTTGCCCTCAGAAAAGCCTCAATTCGTTGGGGCATGGACTCTACAAGGTGTCGAAAGCGTTCCACATGGATACTGGCCAATGTTGACTCCAATGCTTCCCATAATTGTGTAAAGTTGGCTGGATGTCCTTTGGGTGGTGGAGCATTCTTGATACACACAGGAAAAACCCAGCAGCGTTGCAGTTCTTGACACAAACCGGTGTGCCTGGCACCTACTACCATAACCCCTTCACAGGCACTTAAGTATTTTGTCTTGCCCATTCACCCTCTGAATAGCACACATACACAATCCATGTCTCAATTGTCTCAAGGCTTAAAAATCCTTCTCCTCCCCATCATCTACACTGATTGAAGTGGATTAAAGTGACATCGATAAGGGATCATAGCTTTCACCTGGATTCCCCTAGTCAGCCTATGTAATTGATGTTAATGTTTTGTGCACTGAGTGTAGTTCAGTTAACATCTTTAGAGTGACTGCATGTGTAGGGCTTATATCTGAGTGTATGTGTATTTGTATCTCCCTTTGCTTGTTTATGTTTGTATACTGCATGCCTCTATGCTTTGGAGTGCTGTAAAATAGCAATTATCCTACATGGTACGTTTAATAGCGTAATTATGACGGCAGGCTGAAGATTAAGTTGGTTATTAGCTGTTATTAATCTGAGGGTTAATCTTCAAAATCAGGTCATTTATTATCATTCTTTCAAATGAAAGTGGCCTGTTTTTATTGGACTGGATTGTGTTTATTGAAATTTGAATGTGTCACATCATTGTGTGAAATTGTTCATAAAATTATATGAGTTTAATCAACTGTTATTGCTGTGGTGATGATGGGTCACACACACATTCACGCATGCACATACAAACAGGGACACACACACACACAACATGTGAATGGACCTCTTTATACGGTAGGTAACCCATGATAAGATAATCTGGTATCCATGACACACATACACTGAGTGTACAAAACATTAAGAACTCTGCTCTTTCCATGACATAGACTGAACAGGTGAATCCAGGTGAAAGCTATGATCCCTTATTGATGTCACTTGTTTAATTCCACTTCAATCAGTGTAGATGAAGGGGAGGAGACAGGTTAAATAAGGATTTTTTAAGCCTTGAGACAATTGAGACATGGATTGTGTATGTGGGCCATTCAGAGGGTGAATGGGCAAGACAAAATATTTAAGTGTCTTTGAACGGGGTATGGTAGTAGGTGCCAACTCAATATCAGGAAGGTGTTCCTAATGTTTGGTATACCCAGGTGGTCTGTACAGTTTTAACTGACTGAACGGTTTGACCAGTTAGCCCAATCCTCCCTGTTTGTGTTTAATTTCAGCCAGAGGACTTGTCCACCTGGCCATGCTGTCAGAGAACACAAATGTCATATCAAGTAATCAATGAAGGAGCCTTGTCTGTGTACTGCAGTATGCCACCTGAGCAAAGCAGATTTTTCACCAGGATCAAACATGGTTGCAGGACACACACCACACACACACACACACACACACACACACACACACACACACACACACACACACACACACACACACACACACACACACACACACACACACACACACACACACACTGTAGCATTTGAGAAGTAGGTCAAGAGAGGGAAATATGTTTATTTTATTTTTTTTCTTTAACTTTGAACTATACCTCTGTGCATTAGCATGGCTCTACCTCAGTCAGCTGTTACCTAGGTAACCGTTTTCCCCCCTTCTATCTATCTATCTATCTATCTATCTATCTACCTATCTATCTATCTATCTATCTATCTATCTATCTATCTATCTATCTATCTATCTATCTATCTATCTATCTATCTATCTATCTATCTATCTATCTATCTATCTATCTATCTATCTATCTATCTATCTATCTATCTATCTATCTATCTATCTATCTATCTATCTATCTATCTATCTATCTATCTATCTATCTATCTATCTATCTATCTATCTATCTATCTATCTATCTATCACCCACCGACTACCTTCAAAAAACATGTAAATGGAAGACATTAGTAGTCTACGATGCCCTTTGCATATTCAGAAATTAATTACTGTAGAGGCTTTAAGAGGCTTTAAATATCAGCTTTTCTTTGGTTGGCATATCAAAAGGTGTCTGGTGGAGATGGATTTTGGATGGTAATTCTGTGTGATTGACAGCCTGAAAGATTTAATTAGGCCATGAAGAGATTGCTCTCTTTTCTGAGCAAAACATAATTGAACACTTGTTATTGACACACATTTCTGAAAGTCTTGATCTCTCTGTCGCTCTCTTCTCTCTTTCTCTTTTAGCTGGCTACGTGGGACTCAGTCCATGGTCTGAATGGCAGCCTGAAGGAGAGTCGCATTGAGAATGGCATGCAAGGAGTGACGGTCAAAGTAGTAACACTACTGGTAAGGAACAACTTGTTGACGCTGTGAGACTGTGTTACCATCCATGTGCTGTGAATTGTAAACATTATCTATGTGGTTCCGCATGTGTGGAACACTGCTGCTGAAAACATAACTATTTGATTCAGCACATGCACCTATATTCATGTTGTAAGCATTTCGATGTGATATTGTGTTTGATTTGGTATAGGAGGATCCCTTTGTCATGGTGGCTGAGAACATTCTTGGTCAGCCCAAGCGGTACAAAGGCTTCTCCATCGACGTGCTCGATGCCTTGGCAAAGATCCTGGGCTTCAAGTACGAGATCTACCAGGTCGCTGACAGCAAGTACGGCTCGCAGCTGCCTAATGGCTCCTGGAATGGAATGATCGGGGAGCTTATAAACAAAGTACGGCTTTTTTAATACGGCCCGTGTAACCTGCCAACCTGCCATATTATCCCCAGTAAGAGAATGGCATTTGAGACCATTACGGCTCAAACCAACACAGTTTTGACATGGTTTCAGTCCCAACTCATCCCTGTCTGACCGGGGGACGTTTTCTATAATTATTCTCTGTCTGTCCCCATAGAGAGCTGATCTGGCCGTGTCAGCCATTACCATCACTCCAGAGCGGGAGAGTGCGGTGGACTTCAGTAAGCGCTACATGGACTACTCTGTGGGGATCTTGCTGAGGAAACCAGAGGAGAAGATAAACATCTTCTCGCTGTTCGCTCCGTTTGACCTGGCCGTGTGGGGGTGTATCGCTGCAGCCATTCCCGTGGTGGGAGTTCTCATCTTCCTGCTAAGCAGGATGCAGGCACTGAGGACCCAGAATCCTCCAGTGCCACACCAGCAGCCCGCCACCCAGGCGTCCAACTCCCTGCACAGTGCTATCTGGATAGTCTATGGAGCCTTTGTACAGCAAGGTAGGATTAACAACTCTCCTATATACTAATTTAGCTTTTAGCTAAAGCAACATAGGCCATTTTACAGTAGAAAACTAATTATGTAATTTGTACGCATCAAATATTTAATGGGAAACATACAATTTTAATGTGCTTGTACTGTATGCGTCATTTGTGGGTAACATTAAAAAAATGCATGATTCATTAAAATATCCTGTGACTATTTATGAACTATTTATAATAAACATCTAAGCCGATTTAGGTAATGAAAGTGATCCTATGCATTACAATGCCATCCATAAAGTTGCATATACAGTGAAAAAGTCCACATGGCTGTTTCTGAACCTATGTTGCTGTCTCATACATGTCACACACATATGTACAGTATACAGTATAGTTCTCATCGGGCCTGAAAAGTAGAGTTCGGTCCAACCCAAGCCCGGTGAGCTGAAGCCCGAGCCCAGGCCCGGTACGTAATCACAGAAATTAAATGATCCTGAACCCCCAAAAAATACAGATTTCTAGATAACAGTATATTGATTTAAACTGGTGTTTAAGGCGGGCAGCAGCCTTAAAGGCGGGCAGCAGCGGAGTGAGGAGACGAGATAACAGCCCTTTGGCCTAAAAAAAAGCGCGGAGAGAGGAAAACACCTTAGTTATGATCTATGAAAATATTGTAATGAAGTAAACTTATGCAATTGAAGGCATGTATCAAATATTTGCTTATACTGAAACTCCCAAAGTCATATCCAACCGTTATACTAATTTAAATCAAGTCATTTGTGGTCATCTAGATGATGGTTTCAGCACCGTTTTGATTGGGACAGCACCATCGCGCTGCTTTGAGACAAGAGTGGGGGACTCGTCTTGATACATCAATCAATGTCTGATTTTTTTTTTCTGAATCTCCGTTTTGATATTTGTTAAGAATTAGGCTGGGAAATGTTAGCTAAATTGAGGTGAGTGCTTATGAACATCTTTATTCTAGTTTGCTCATATATCAAATCAAATCAAATCAAATCAAATTTTATTGGTCACATGCGCCGAATACAACAGGTGCAGACATTACAGTGAAATGCTTACTTACAGCCCTTAACCAACAGTGCATTTATTTTAAACAAAAAAAGTAAGAATAAAAACAACAACAAAAAAAGTGTTGAGAAAAAAAGAGCAGAAGTAAAATAAAGTGACAGTAGGGAGGCTATATATACAGTAAAATAAAGTGACAGTAGGGAGGCTATATATACAGGGGGGTACCGTTGCAGAGTCAATGTGCGGGGGCACCGGCTAGTTGAGGTAGTTGAGGTAATATGTACATGTGGGTAGAGTTAAAGTGACTATGCATAAGTACTTACTTAACAGAGTAGCAGCAGCGTAAAAAGGATGGGGTGGGGGGGCAGTGCAAATAGTCCGGGTAGCCATGATTAGCTGTTCAGGAGTCTTATGGCTTGGGGGTAGAAGCTGTTGAGAAGTCTTTTGGACCTAGACTTGGCACTCCGGTACCGCTTGCCGTGCGATAGCAGAGAGAACAGTCTATGACTAGGGTGGCTGGAGTCTTTGACAATTTTGAGGGCCTTCCTCTGACACCACCTGGTATAGAGGTCCTGGATGGCAGGGAGCTTTGCCCCAGTGATGTACTGGGCCGTACGCACTACCCTCTGTAGTGCCTTGCGGTCAGAGGCCAAGCAGTTGCCATACCAGGCGGTGATGCAACCAGTCAGGATGCTCTCGATGGTGCAGCTGTAGAATTCTTTGAGGATCTGAGGACCCATGCCAAATCTTTTTAGTCTCCTGAGGGGGAATAGGCTTTGTCGTGCCCTCTTCACGACTGTCTTGGTGTGTTTGGACCATGATAGTTCGTTGGTGATGTGGACACCAAGGAACTTGAAGCTCTCAACCTGTTCCACTACAGCCCCGTTGATGAGAATGGGGGCGTGCTCAGTCCTCTTTTTTTCCCTGTAGTCCACAATCATCTCCTTTGTCTTAGCTGATCAGAACATAATGCTATCATGTTATGTAGCTTAACAAGTGGATTTTACTCTTCAGTCGCGTAGTAGGCTGTCCAACTCCCAACCGAAAGCCTGTGACCTGTCTGGTAATCAATCAATGTGATTTTGTTTAACTGAATCTCCGTCTGTATATTTGGTTTATTGATTTCTGCCTGAGCAAGTGGAGATGGTAGCTCATGTATTTGTTTGCTCATCTATCACTGATCAGAAACATATAGCATGCAATAATGTAGCCTAAATCAAGTGTATTGTTTTTCTACTGTCTCCTGTAGTAGCCTTTATATAACGTATCCACCATCGAGCTGTGAGAGTACATCCTGTTTTATCTGTCTTAACGTAACTTAGGCTACTTCAATATAATCAATCAATCATTACATCATTATGCAACATACGAGTCATTCATGCCTTTAAATACAATCAAGCATATATAAAAAAAAAATGAAATAACAAAGAATCCTTGAATAATTAAACAATAAATAAATAACTACATTTTCTGTCTAACATTCATTTGAATACATTACTCAAAAGCCCTGTGTTTTGAATGAATGTTTGATTAGGAAAACATTTGGATCAGTTAAGGGTCTACTTTTGATAGTTTACAAGGTCCAGCAAGGCATGTTAGCAGGGTAGTCATAGGGTGTACAGTGAGGGAAAAAAGTATTTGATCCTCTGCTGATTTTGTACGTTTGCCCACTGACAAAGAAATGATCAGTCTATAATTTTAATGGCAGGTTAATTTGAACAGTGAGAGACAGAATAACAACAAAAAAATCCAGAAAAACGCATGTCAAAAATGTTATAAATTGATTTGCATTTTAATGAGGGAAATAAGTATTTGACCCCCTCTCAATCAGAAAGATTTCTGGCTCCCAGGTGTCTTTTATACAGGTAACGAGCTGAGATTAGGAGCACACTCTTAAATGGAGTGCTCCTAATCTCAGCTTGTTACCTGTATAAAAGACACCTGTCCACAGAAGCAATCAATCAATCAGATTCCAAACTCTCCACCATGGCCAAGACCAAAGAGCTCTCCAAGGATGTCAGGGACAAGATTGTAGCCCTACACAAGGCTGGAATGGGCTACAAGACCATTTGAGGGAAGGAGGTTCTCACCCACTACAAAGAGGAGGGGGACAAAATCCCTCCTGAGATGTGTGCAAACCTGGTGGCCAACTACAAGGAACGTCTGACCTCTGTGATTGCCAACAAGGGTTTTGCCACCAAGTACTAAGTCATGTTTTGCAGAGGGGTCAAATACTTATTTCCCTCATTAAAATGCAAATCAATTTGTAACATTTTTGACATGCGTTTTTCTGGATTTTTTTGTTGTTATTCTGTCTCTCACTGTTCAAATAAACCTACCATTAAAATTATAGACTGATCATGTCTTTATCAGTGGGCAAACGTACAAAATCAGCAGGGGATCAAATACTTTTTTCCCTCACTGTATTTTGTTAGGATGTATCGGCATTAACAGATGCCATTGGAATATGGGCTTCTCCTGATACTGAGACGTGCTGCCTGTTGTGGTCATGTGGATCATCATTCTCCCGAGTGCACTCCACGCTATTCATATCGCAAATTGAAACATTGCAAATATCAGAAAGAAAAGTTTTGTTATGGGCACAGATTTCTCTGGCTCAGCCAATATTGGAATCCTGGCGCCTCTAGTGTCTGCTGCAGCTGAGAGAGAGTTGGAGTAGGCTAAAAGGTGCGCAGACACCGAAACCGACCCAATTCAATTAATAGAATTTGAGGCCAGCCAGGTCTTATATGTGAATTGAGTCCTAGTCAAACATGCCTTAAAAAAACAAGACCGGGCCGGGCCGTCGGGTCCTGTCGGGTTCAGGCTGAGAACTCTAGTATACTGTCCATGTAACATAGTGATTGCATTTCAAACTTGTTAAGCTCACAAGAGCACAGTTAAGGTGCCTTTGAATGAAGAAAAGATAGGATATGTTGGTTGGAATCCAAGACTGGCAAAAGGAAACAAATGAGTGTGTCAGCAAGTCCTGTTGAACCCCCAGCTACATCTATTACCTCCTGGCAGAGAGCCCATTGAACCCTTTTAAGCCTAGTCTTCGCTACTGGACATTATTTCAAGTGGACACTTTTTACTGTATAGGAAAGCAATGGTCAGATGTAACCCATTTTTCATTGAAAGTTATGGAGCCTTTTTTTGTAAACAAATGTTTTTATTGGGTCACAAGGGCAATACAAGAATACAAATAATATTTACACTTTTCCAATTTTTATATGTTTTGAATTTACACACGCTCCCACCAGTCTATAATTGTAATGGTAGGTTTCTTTGAACAGTGAGAGACATAATAACAACAAAAAAATCCAGTCAAAAATGTTATGAATTGATTTGCATTTTAATGAGGGAAATAAGTATTTGACCCCTCTGCAAAACATGACTTAGTTGGTGGCAAACTTATAATTGTTTTCAATTTATAACATTTTTGACATGCGTTTTTCTGGATTTTTTTGTTTGTTATTCTGTCTCTCACTGTTCAAATAAACCTGCCATTACAATTATAGACTGATAATTTCTTTGTCAGTGGGCAAACGTATAAAATCAGCAGGGGATCAAATACTTTTTTCCCTCACTGTATTCCAAACATACCCCTGGCGGCCCCACCCTATTCCCAACCTTGGACAACCCATAATGTATAAAAAATATATATATACATAAACAAAGGTTTTAATCAAATTAAAATAAACAACACACACTGCACTAGAATATACACAGCAAAGTCATTTGCTAATACAACACCATCAAGTAAGCATTTTACTTCACACATATCCAACAATTTAGAGATTTCTGAGGCGGCTACTTTCCATGTTTCCAAGGTGCTAGGACTGGCTTTATTCATATGGGCAGTGGATAACTCCAACATAATGAAAGTATGCTAGCCATTTCCTTATAATGTATGAAGGTCATGTGATGACAACCAGCGCTGAACAACACGTTTTTGGGCAGCTGTCAACCCAGCCAGCCAAACTTTTTGCTGTTTCTCATTCAGCTGCACATCTGTATCATCGTTAAACAACAGCGGAATTGGTTCAAGGGGTACAGCTGTTTCTCATTTCAGCTACATACCTGTATCATCATTAAACAACAGCGGAATTGGTTGAAGGGGTACAGTTTTATCAATCATGTCAGAGAGAATTTACAACACTTTCCTCCAAAACTCATAAACCTCAGGACAATCCCATATCATATGTTTGTTTGTGCCAAGTGTATTGAGGTTACATAGGTCACAGTATGGGCTTTGAGCCTGTTTTGCATGAAATCTTACAAGACGTTTTCAGTACGATCTATGACAAAGTTTTAAATGAATTAATTGATGGTTTGGGTTCTTTGATGAGTGAAATATATTTTCCCAGACAATCTCCCAATCAATAGCCTCATCATCGACAGCCAAATCATTTACCATGTTTTAACCATTGAACGATATTTCTGCTTTAATAGTTGAAGGTGAGAGTAAATAGCAGACACAAAACCTCTGGAGGGGAATGTAAAAATCCACTCTATTACTGGGTGCCTTCCCAAATTTGTACCCAATGGGACCCCATAGGCAGGAAGCGTTGACCGTAGTCTAAGATATAGAAAGAATAACGACCCTGGCAAATCAAAACGAAGACGGAGTTCCTGAAAACTAAGAAGACCCTTTGAGTTGAATATATCCCCTAGATTATTGGCCCCTTTTGCAGACCAGGCTCTAGACTCAAAAGTTTTATTACCGGACGTAATAGCCTTGTTATGCCATAGAGGGGTATGGAGATGCCATTTCCAGTTACCACCTACACACTTCTCAACCTTCCTAAAATTCTCTATTGTCTTAGAAATCATAGGACCAAAATACAACATGCATTTGTTATTAGATATACCAGAAAATAACACATCCTGCAATCTAATATGTGAAACAAGTTCTTCCCCAATAGTTCTCCAAGAGACTGATGTAGACTGATCAAACCATGATATAAGTGGTCATAGCTGAAAAGACTGGTGGTAAAATAAAATAAATTGTCCACCATTACACTTCTGTCATTGTAACACCTCAAACCTAATCTTTGGATGTTTGCCATTCCAAAGGTATTGACGTATACGTTATCAACCATTCCCCAATGGTGGAGTGAGTGGGATCATCATGCTCAGGAAACTAATACGTGGCAACACATTCATCTTTAGTTTGTAAAGAAGCAGGCAACTTCTCCCAAATGGTTAAATCTCGTTCAACCTCCTTGTACATTTTCTCATAATTAAACTTCACCAGACCATGCAGAGATGTTTATATACTAATACCCAAATAAGTGAACTGTGTTTTCATAGGAATTGTTGAGGGAAGTGAAACTTTCTTGGCTGCTTCATTAAGCAACATTAATGCTGATTTTGTCCAATTTATCTTATACCCGGACAGCAATTTGAATTCTTCCAATGTGGATAATAAAGATGAAATTGAATTCTGAATATCTGTCATATATAGGAGAATATAATCCGCATATAGTGATATGATATGAGAGGAAGATTTAATCAGTATAGGCTAAGCAATTACATTCTGCCTTAGATGTTGTGCTAAAGGTTCTAGCGACAGAATGAATAACGTTGGGTATAGGCCATCTCCTTATCTACATCCCGGGAAAATAGGGAACGGACTTGAGTGTATGCCGTTAGTAGACACCATAGCAACAGGGTTAGCATATAACACACAAACCATATCGGTAAAATTATTTCCCAAACCAAATTTCTCCAAGACAGCAAGTTATTTGGATTTGGTCCAGATATTCTGCTTGTTCCTTCTCAACCTATTGGAAACCTCATAACTATAGTTGCTTTATCTTCCACCCAGTCGGGATATTGACATGTCCTTTCTCTCCCTCTATAGGAGGGGACAGTGTGGTGAGCTCTGTGGCCCTGAGGATCGTCATGGGCAGCTGGTGGCTCTTCACCCTCATCGTATGTTCCTCCTACACGGCCAACCTGGCAGCCTACCTCACCGTCTCCCGCATGGACAACAACGTACGGTAGGTCACTTATCGCCATTCTCCACACCATGACTACATTTGAATCCCTCCTGCATAAAGGTGTCAATGTATTGTTAACCCGGGTGATCAAATCATGAATGACGACTTTGGCTCTCCCCACTGTGGGACTGGCTAATGTTCCGTCTTCGCCCAGGGACTAGAAAGACCATCCAGAGGGGAGTTCATTGACTTTTGTTGTCGGCAGTACATAGAGTAAGGTTTTCATGACAGTGTGGTCAGTCAGTGTTTTATGGGGGTCAAGCTTTGTGAGTGGTCAATGTAGTATGCACTGTAATACAGTAGATGTTCTTAAAGCCTCACAACAGACTATTATGCAACTAGGGTGATATATTGAATTGCGCAAAACTTCCTGTTGAATTTCCAATCGATTTACAGGTATATTAGGAGTGTGAACGTTTAAAATTGTAAAAGTTTAAACGAAAATGGAATTGTTAATGTTAAGAAAAAATCCCTAACCAATGTTTATTTATTTGATTTGTTATTAAAATTACAGTGCAGTTATCACAAAACTACCACTAACAGGTCCCGTTCATCATTATAAAGGGAAAATACAAATTAAACTAATACCTAACACAACAATGCTGTTACCTTAGTAGGAGGATAAAAAGAAAATATTTTAGCTTCTTTATTAACCAGAGCTGTAATGCACGAGAGAGAGAGAGAAACAGAGCAGCAGCTCAAACAGGGACCGGGGGAGGGGCCACAGGGAGGGGGAGAGAGATGAGGGGAGCAGGGAGGGGGAGAGAGTTGGCAACCACACTGATATACTAACTTATTGCTAGTTATGTATCATCTCATCTGATTACACAGTACCTCTCTTGACTGCATCAAAACGAGAGAAGCTAGGCTAACTGCATCAAAACGTTAGCTAGGCTTATTGAGACTACATAACTTTAACTGTGCGCTTTCTCCCCTTCCTACAGTAAATAACAACAACTCCATTCAGATTATTAAGTAGCAACCTACCTGTTGGCTCTTGGTGTTGTAGCTTGTCCTTCTCATTGAATTTTTAGTTCTGTTATTTTAATTCCATCTTCTATAGATTAGCCTAGATATCTCCTAATAACTAGCCACACAGAGGCTTTATGACTGTAGCCTAGTGCCGGTTTGATGACTTGTGATTGGATGATAACAACATCAAGCTACACACGCCATTCTCTTGACAAGCATGAGCAGCAGCAGCATAAATTATACAATTTTCTCTCTTTCTCCGCGGGAAGAGAGATGTAGACCATCTGCATTGCAAATTCAATTGGAATTTTTCTTATCGTTCTAACAGAAAACCTATGGCCGTTTAAACGTTAAGAAATATTGTCCATTTGTCACAGCCCTAATTTATATGAAATATGACATTCAGGATGTACAAGATCAATCTTTTAATGTTGCAACTCGACCATGCACTACTCTATTGCCATTCATCCTGTAGCAACATGGGTGGCAGAACATATTGGACAGTACAAATCTCCACAGTGTCATCCACGAAATCTTTAACTGAAAATGACTTGTCTAATGCGTTATTGCAGCATTCGGTAGCATCTAAAACAGCATCTTCCTTCTGAAGGTGATATTTTGCAACGCTGGTATATGCCAACTGTTTGAAATGCCAGACATACATCATGGCATCACCCAGTAGAATCCATGTTTATTAATGATGTGCCTACATTGCCATCCTGCTCACAAACACACAGACACATGTACATGGACCTCACACATGGAGGAATGAGGTTGGATCTTTGAATATTACCATCCCATCTCTGTTTGCCTTCGGATCTGCAAATGTTATCCACCGCTTATCCCCGAACAATGCATATTTGCTCAGGCATTGTGGCTTTGATGTCAGATTGTATTTGATTATGCTGATTTGCAAATGGTGTGTGAAAAAGAGTGCCACCATGTGGTGGTCTCCGTAGTAAGTACAGTTATCAGCAACGTCAGTGCCAGTAGGAAAAGACAAGTGCAAGCTTTTTTTTTATTGGGAGAATATGAGTGTGATGTTTTATTTAAGATACTCTTTGAAGATGTTTTCAGAACATTGTTTCTGTCTGTATACTTGGTACATTAAGTTATAGAGACAGAGCTCTAGCCATTCTGTTGATGCTGCTGTTGGGAGAGGCTCTTTATTTATAGCCATTCTGATCATTCATCCTACTCCTGTTAGTGGAAACCATGGCTGAATCAGACACTGGGCTCTTTCAACTGTCGCTGTACATTTATGTCAGCATGACCCATAGTTAGTGGAAAGGGTAGGTAGTGGTTGTGGATATCTAGTGAAAAGGGTAGGTACTGGAAACAGTGCCTATCATAAGTATTCACCCCCCTTGGATTTCTTCAAATTGTATTGTGTTACAAAGTGGGGTTAATTTATTGTCTACAATCTACACAAAATACTCTGTAATGTCAGTGTCAGGAAAATTATAAGATTAATGAAAAATAAAACACTAATATACATTGATATATATAAGTATTCACCCGCCTGAGTCAATAAATATTAGAAACACATTTAGCAGCGGTTACAGCTGTCTTCTTCAAGCTCTGTCAAGGTGTTGGGGATCATGGCTAGACAACAATTTTCAAGTCTTGCCATAGATTTTCAAGCAGGTTTAAGTCAAAACTGTAACTTAGCCACTCAGGATCATTCACTATCTTCTTGGCAAGCAACTTGGCCTTGTGTTGTAGGTTATTGTCCTGCTGAAAGGTGAATTCCTCTCGCAGTGTCTGGTGTAAAGAAGACTGAAGCAAGTTTTCCTCTAGGATTTTGCCTGTGCGTAGCTCAATCCTGTTTCTTTTTATCCTGAAAAACTCCCCAGTCTTTGCCGATGTTAAGCATACTGATACCATGAAATAAGGACGCAGTTACTCAGTAACGTGTTGTGTTGGATTTGCCCAAAACATGAGGCTTTGCATTTAGACCAAAAAGTGTATTCCTTTGCTGTGTTTTCTTTTCAGTATTACTTTAGTGCCTTGTTACATACATGATGCATGTTTTGGAATATTTTTGTTCTGTATATTTATATTCTTCTTTTCACTCTGTCATTTAGGTCATTATTGTGTCACTACAATGTTGTTGATCCATCCTCAGTGTTCTCCCATAACAGCCATTGAACTCTGTAGCTGTTTTAAAATCAACAATGGCCTCCTAAAAGCAGTTTCCTTTCTGTCCTGCAGTTCAGTTCAGATGGACAACTGTATCTTTGATATGTCTGGACGGTTTATTCCATCATCCACAGCATAATTATTAACTTGACCATGCTTAAAGAGATATTCAATGTCAGATTTTTTTTATTGTTACCAATCACTGGCCTTCTACAGTGCCTTGCAAAAGTATTCACCCCCCTTGGCATTTTTCCTATTTTGTTGTATTACAACCTGTAATATTAATGGATTTTTATTTGGATTTCATGTAATGGACATACACAAAATAGTCCAAATTGGTGAAGTGAAATGAAAAAAAACTTGTTTCAAATAATTATAAAAAGTAAATCACATAAATGTGGTGAGTGCATATGTATTCACCCCCTTTGCTATGAAGCCCCTAAATAAGATCTGGTGCAACCAATTACCTTCAGAAGTCACATAATTAGTTAAATAAAGTCCACCTGTGTGCAATCTAAGTGTCACAAGATCTGTCACATGATCTCAGTATATAAACACCTGTTCTAAAAGGCCCCAGAGTCTGCAACACCACTAAGCAAGGGGAACCACCAAGCAAGCGGCACCGTGAAGACCAAGGAGCTCTCCAAACAGGTCAGGGACAAAGTTGTGGAGAAGTAGAGATCAGTGTTGGGTTATAAAAAAATATCATCCCACGGAGCACCATTAAATCCATTATTAAAACATGGAAAGAATATGGCACCACAACAAACCTGCCAAGAGAGGGCCGCCCACCAAAACTCACGGACCAGGAAAGGAGGGCATTCATCAGAGAGGCAACAAAGATAACCCTGAAGGAGCTGCAAAGCTCCACAGCAGAGATTGGAGAATCTGTCCATAGGACCACTTTAAGCCGTACACTCCACAGAGCTGGGCTTTACGGAAGAGTGGCCAGAAAAAAGCCATTGCTTAAAGAAAAAAATAAGCAAACACGTTTGGTGTTCGCCAAAAGGCATGTGGGAGACTCCCCAAACATATGGAAGAAAGTACTCTGATCAGATGAGACTAAAATTGAGCTTTTTGGCCATCAAGGAAAACGCTATGTCTGGCGCAAACCCAACACCTCTCATCACCCCGAGAACACCATCCCCACAGTGAAGCATGGTGGTGGCAGCATCATGCTGTGGGGATGTTTTTCATTGGCAGGGACTGGGAAACTGGTCAGAATTGAAGGAACGATGGATGGCGCTAAATACAGGGAAATTCTTGAGGGAAACCTGTTTCAGTCTTCCAGAGATTTGAGACTGGGGCGGAGGTTCACCTTCCAGCAGGACAATGACCCTATGCGTAATGCTAAAGCAACACTCGAGTGGTTTAAGGGGAAACGTTTAAATGTCTTTGAATGGCCTAGACTTTGGGGGGGGGGGGGGGGGGGGGGGGGGGAGTGAATAGTTATGCACGCTCAAGTTTTCAGTTTTTTTGTCTTATTTCTTGTTTGTTTCACAATAAAAAATATTTTGCATCTTCAAAGTGGTAGGCAATAACATAGGAAAAATGCCAAGGGGGGTGAATACTTTCGCAAGCCACTGTATATGAGGCTTTTGAAAAGCTCCCTGTTCTTTGTAGTTGAATCTGTGCTTGAAATGCAATACTTGACTGAGAGACCTTACTGATGTATCTATGGGGGACAGAGGAAGGGGTAGTCATTCAAAAACCATGTCAACCCCTATTCTTTCACTCAGAGTGAGTCCATGTATTTTATTACAGTATGTGATTTGTTAAGCCAAATTTTACTCCTGAACTAATTTAGGCTTGCCTAGACAAAGGGGGTGAATACTTATGCAACAACTTTATTTTAGTTATTTAATTAGTATTCATTTGTAAAAG